ACTAACAATGTAACATATTACTTTATGTGCATCTGTCATTTGCTCATCACTGTTTAGAGAACCTTAAATTCACTTTGAATATGACCTTGAGCATATTCCTGAAGAAATGTGATGTTGTCAGTGTGATTCATCCTATCCCCAACTAGTCCCACCTCAAATCTCTCCTGTGGGAGGTTCAATCTTTGTCTTCATTAGACCACCACTGAATTCCGGTGGGCTGAGGCACAGCATGTTGCTGTGCATAGTTGTGTCCCTTAATTGTGCCAGGATCTGCAAATCCTGGGTTTGAAGACGGGTTCATTCATTAGTTCATGCCACCAGCCAATACATGGGAAACTACAACAAAACATGTCAGCTGTAACTGAACAGTAGATGTGATAGAAAAATCTCTAATATTTGTAACTTTACGTTTAAAAAATTAATATATATATGTGTTCTGTAGACATTATTCTTACAAATGTATTCTTTGGTGGGTTTGGATCCCAGATTCCTTCCGATTATGATTCTAGGTTTGTCAGCACCATACCTGTACCTGTGGGTTTCACCAAAGTGGTAAACGTCTAAGACCTGCATTATGTGGAGCTTTCTTCCCCCTGTAATCTCAAACACAGTGAAGAGAAGCACTGTTTGCACAAGCATTAACCTCCACTCTTGTATATTTAGCTCCACTGACATGAATGTCCACTTAACAAGAGTCAATACTTTAGATATTGGTCTGTTATCATGTGCATATGGACATTTTGTAGAAGAATTAGTCTCCAATATCCCATGCTTGTTGAAAGAAACTAAGAGTCTACTAGAGAAGTGGCGACTTTGCCGATTGTGTCCCTATGGCATGAGTCAATGTGCATTCTTTCAGTCACTGGTTACCCTGGTGTGGAAACTCTATTATTGACATACTGAGGTGATATTGCTGTAATATTGCTAACCATGCCAATAAACACCATGTACTCACTCATGAAAATGGAGGTCACACTGACATGGCAACTATGAATTCAACGTTTTCATTCCAGTTTTCAGACCCATGAAGATCCGGGTTAGAATAGGTCTTCAGCAACCTATGTTTGCCATAGGAGGTGACTATGCTTGTGAAAGAGGTGACAAACGGGATCAGGTGGCCAGGCTCGCTCACTTGGTTGATTCATGTCATTGTATCCCTATTGCCTAGATCAATGCTCATGATGTGAATCACTGGATTGTGATCGCTGTCATATAGTTGGAATATTGCTGAGTGTGGCGGTAAACAACAAAGAAACCAACTTTTCAGTTTTCCATATCATTACTACTCTAGCACAATATTATTTACAACCCCCTGAATTATCCCTGTCCACATGCTAGAATACTACATTGCCTAAGATAGAATCAACACTTTACTTACCTATATTTCCCATCCAATATCACTTGAAATAGGGACATATGCTTGAAGTAGATAAGATGTAATACATGAGGGAATTAATAAACACTGTCCTCTGCATGAGCATCTTGTCTGTGAGTCGGCCGGTCTGTATGGTTGTACCTGTGGTTTAGACGCAGACAGAGCTAGGCCTTGTGACTATGTGACCTCCCTCTTGCAAATCGGGTCAATGGCAATTTTTCTCAACTCTGTTTGGTCACATTCTCTTGGGGCTCTCCACTTGTGTACCTCCGAGCTACAGAGACGCTGAGTGTTTGCGTCAAATTACCCAGTTATTTTTAAGTTGTGTACAAATATGCATGAAAAATGAAAAAGACCCATATTACAACTTTCAGTGCTTAATTACCAAATGTGGCCTTTTAATATGTTTTATCTAGCATACCTGTATTTCTTTACTTGTCTTAATTGCTGCATGAATTCAGGCATCTCGTGTACTGTAGCAGCGATAGAAACTAACAGTTTTAGTCTACTAGTCCTTGTAATGATATATACTTAAAAGGGGCAAATTTCTGCTTGTCCTTATGTTACCTAAACTATAGTCAGTTTGGCAAGGATAACAGGACTAGTGTCAAATTCTAAGGATGATTTGGTGGATAATGGACAAAAGCACTACATCTTACACATTGGAACTTGTCATGTCATGTCATCGTTGTCGGGAATAGTTTGTTGCAATAGTATGATAAGTAATTTTTTATTTGACTTGATGCAATACCCAAACAGATCCACTATCTCTCAGGTACTGTGGTCCAGTGGAAGAGCGTCTGCCTGAATAACGGAAGGTTGGAGGTTCAATCCCCCGGCCACCTCCTACCAATGGATGTTAAGATATGTTGTACTTGATGATAAAAGATGTACTTGTTGTTACCCTGCTGGTTGCTGGACAATAAGGGGGCTAAAACAAGGACTTGTTGGCTTGAAGTCAGTATACTGTGTCTGAGTGGGGTAGCTGTGTTTAACTGCGTCATGGTATCTCAGTGGGCTAGTGCTAAGAAAAAAACACTGGCATTAGCATGATTAGTCCGGACTAGTTCAAGCAAACACACACATAAACACAGACACATGCATTCATGCACGTCGCTATATAAGTGCTATAATCTAAAACACAACATTAAACCCCATTCACTTCACCTGACCTTCTAGACTGCAGGGGCAGTTGTAAGGGAGGTAACTCTGATTATGAGCAGAAATAATGTGTGTCACTTTAAAATATTTTGTTTCTTATAAAAATAAGGGAGGAATTGCTTTGAGTAGAGAAGTTGATTATAACTAGATATTAGGCCAAAATAGAATATGTACTAGGTTTTCTTACTGGATCACATGAATCAACAGTTAATGTACATGGATGGCATCAACAGGCAATAACATATATAAGATAGATAATGCCTCTAGCTTGCCTCACATTTAATAAGATTTAGATGAAACTGTATGAATCAATTTATTGTGACCTTTTAGTGGGTTTTGATTTGTTTATCATGATTATGTTAACATGTCTATGTCTAGGAAATGTAATAAGAGTGTAACGAATAGTATTGACTGGATTACTGTACAGTATATCTAGTATATGTCAAATGTTCATCACTTGTCAGTGTGTTGCATAATTGAGTTGTGGATGATTGGAAGGCAACATTAACTCATTCAATAATCACACTCCTAGCGATTTTTATGTTACATACTCAAATGTAAGTGACATGTTAAGTTGCTATCCTATGTCACTCTTTTATCTTTGAAAAGATTTAGGGAATATTTCTTGAAAATTCATTGACTTAATGTCGAATATAGAAGCATTGGTGTCAAAGACTCCTGAAACTGTTGAGGGATGGTAGTGTATGGCCTTGTGGTTGAAATACGTGCTTGTCATGGTGAAGACCTGAGTTCAATTCCCAAAATGGGTTAAGAAATCTAATGCATATTCCTTATATCCCGCGAGCGAAATGTTTTTACATATTCTTTCTTATTCTCTTTCCAACTGCTTTACATCTCAATGAAAAAAATAACTGCATGGCAAGGCAAATGTTAGTAATGATTTAAAAGCTAATGGGGTCCTCTTCTGCCCAATAAAACTCCAGTACACTGAAGAAGAGATGTGTAGAAAATCAAAGGTCATATCCAACTGGTCTGCAGCTCATTTCAGACTAGTGGTTATGTTAAATAACTTGATTTTTGAGTAAAACATTTTCCGAATCTGTCAAGACTGATACGTGTCTCTGAGTAACGGACAAGTGGTCATGTCTATACCTCAGAAAGTATCTCTAAGCGATCACAACATGATATTGTCATAACCAAAGGTTAATCATAGGTGTCTCCTGTGCCAGTTCCGCAAATGATCTTTTGTGACATTAATATATTTGTGGTGCATAGAAATCAGCCCATCCTTAACTTTTGGTTATGAGTATAGAGAACATGATGACACTGAACACAGTAGTCTGTCTCCCAAGTCTAGAATGATTTGGCAAGTCTTGATTGCCTCAGCCTGAATTTAGGATTATTCTGGGCTCCATTTGGATTTTTAAATTTATTTTGTAGATATATATTTTTAGATAGACAACTTTATTTCTGGGACTAAATGTCAGTCTTTGAACACAGTTACTTTGATCTTGAACTTTATTTATCGTCATTTCAGATCATGTTGCATACCCCAACTCATGAAACTGATATCCATCCCCAAGATTGTCGTTTCTTGTTTAATACAACATTTCCATTTAACAGACATAACAGAGAAGATCAGTTTGGATGTAAAAATAAATACACCAACAAGTTTGTTAAGCCCACATGTCAGACTTGATCATGTTCTGGGATTACATGATGTCTGAGAGAAGTAGCACTGGCTTGCTACCCTGAGTTGTTGCCAAGCCTAGATGAAATACAAAGTTTCAAGGCATAAGTGTTTTTGTTGTTTCTTGGTTTTTAGGATCCAAAGTTTGGATGAAAAATGTTGAATGAAATCAGATTATTTTGAAGAACATTTTTTCTTCTTCTATCAGAACATTCCACAGCCTGATTAAAAAAATTAGTAATAAAATAAGCTCTAAATGTAAATCACTATGGTAACTCGTGGAACTGTCATTCAAAGAAACTCCCAGCCTCCAAATTGCTTTCATTACATTATTTTGTATTTCACCCTCTCCTTTCTACCACTAAGCAATGAAGAAAGAACTATTATAATATGAATTTGTTTGGCAGTTTTCGTTTTTGTTTAGCTCAGTCCTTTATTTTGTTACTGCAGTGATTGGGTATTTGGTCGGATTAAAATGTGTTGTGTTGTATTCTCCCCAGGGAGCTGAGAATGCACTATTGAGGCACACTGATCCTTGACCCTGGTTAATGTTAATTTTGTAGCACTATGAGTAGATTTAAGGGTATGAAAACAGTTCATGATAAATATGCATTATTTTATAGCATAAATTCTATGAAACATGATCTGTGAGCTTATTCAATTGTAAGCTTATGACATTACATTTGTAAGCTTATAACATAACAAAGCCTAACCTTTAAATGACTCTAAACAAAATTGAAATACACCCCCATAAACCCCCCTGTCCTGACCCTCCCAAATACACATCCAATGATCCTTTTAAGTTCTCTGTAGGCCTAGGGATCTGGAATCCCGGGACATGTCAAACCCTTTATAGTTTGCTTTAGAACCCAGGGAAGAGAGCCACAATCTCAGACAACTATGACTACGCAGCGCACAGACAGTATTTGGCTAAGTGGCGCAAGTCAGGGAAATGTGTCTGGCAACGGAATCGACAATCCTGTGTATAATGATGATGATGGCTCTAGTTCTGCTGTGATTGAGGTGTTGTGTTTGAATTCTTCCACTTCACCTGTTGGAGTTGTTGCAAATCAAAATGCTGAACCGCTTCAGGCTAATTCTGGGGTTAGACTTGCCAAACGAACAGCCGAGGAGGGAGTTTTACAGAGGCAGCGTTTGGATACTCCTGATGAAGATGGAGATTTGAGTTATCAAAAAAAACGTGAGTTATGAAGTTTGTTTATTGAGGGATTAAATAGGTTGGTAAATATGTCAACAGGATGAATTGAGGTTTAATTTCGACAGTGAAAAAATAGGGTTTACATGTATATGTAGGCCTAGTGAATGCAATGCTTAGACTACTTTAATATTTGTTACTACTTTGACATTTTCATGAAGAGTGTGAACTATGTCTTGGCAACAATTTACAATCTCTCATTAATATTAATAGAGCATGCCTTCACACTGCTTTTAGCAACAATATCACAGCGGGGGACACCAGCAATGGGCTTCACACATTTTAGGTGTTTAACTTGGTTCGAGTGATCAGATTGAAAATCCAGAAATATCAAATATAATAAAAGGGTTTCAATTTTACTTCTATTTATATGCCAGCTCTATATTTGATGTACTGGAGGAACTACAAAGACACAAGAAAATGTTATCTTCAATTTTTAAAGCCACTGCAATAAGTGACAAAGAGAACACACCATTCTTTGACTAAAGATACTGCATCAACTTCACTCGTACTACTACTGCTACAAATAATATGGTCAATGCTAGAACAAGTTCAATGGATCAATAGTAAACAGTCCATAATTCATGAAATTAAAAATATGGTGGAAGTGGGTTAAAAGGAAATTAACAAGATTACTACCGGTACTGTATTTAAAGTTGGCATGAATTTCCTCATGGATTGTTACAGTTGGGATCATGATCATAGAACAGGTCTAGTATGTTTCATCCTCGGCAATGCTGGGTATTTATGCCGTCATTGTTTTATGACATGTACTCTCATCCACTCACCACCACAGTTTTGTTTTAGTGATGTCACAATCTCTTATCTCTCTTATCACTGACCCAGCACAAAATTTTGTAGGCATTGTGCAATTTCATGTTGTTTTATTAATCAAATTGGTATTAACAAGTTTGCATAATGGGGTTTCCTGATGTATTGACATTGCATAACTGATTTTGTGTATATTTTGGAATTATTTGTTTGTAAAGTTAATGTGTATAGTAGTGTAACCATGAAGATCTGGTTTAGCATAGGGCTTCAGCATCCCGTGCTTGCCGTAAAATGTACTATGCTTGTCATAAGAGGCAGCTTACGGGATCGGGTGGTCAAGCATGTTGACTTAGTTGATGCATGTCATCGTATCCCAATTGCCTAGATCGATGCTCATGATATCAATCACTTGATTGTCTGGTCCAGACTCAATTATTTACAGACTGACGTCATATATCTACAGTGTTGCTGATTGTGGCATTTGAGAAACATATTTAACAAACACACTTTGCTGTGAAATTGCTGGAATGATGGCAAACCCAATAAAAGTGTTTTGATAAACCCAACTTACTGTTAAGTAAAAAACATTTATTTTCTACCATCTTGGAATGAGGTTCAAAATTACTGGTAATAAATAAGGTCCAAGACTTATGACAATTCAGTAATAAATTTTAGCTGACCCATTTCACTAAACAAATACAAATAGTCATCATGGTTGTGGTTATCAAACCATCAGTGACTCTGAGGGTCAATATATTGTACTTGAGTTTCTTATCATAGTCATATGACTAGGTTATGCATGGTCTGTGTGATTCTGATAACGTGTACGCTAGAGTCAGGATAATGTCCAGATTTCTCACTAATGTTATGTAATATGTTTGTATACATGAAATGTACAAATGTCAAATAGGAAGTAAAAAAGGAATTTTTACATTTTCTAAATGATAATAATCGTTCATCTTTGACAAATCTTGCAAACATTTATTTAATGAAATATTAGGGGGTTAGGGTAGCCTTGTGGTTAAAGCGTTCTCTCGTCACGTTGAAGACCCAGGCTGGATTCTGCACAATGGTGCAATGTGTGAAGCCCATTTCTTAATAGTGTCGTATTGCTGGAATATTGCTAAAAGCGGCTTAACATCTTACTCACTGCTGAAATATTAATAATCATGCACATTTATTTTTATTTGATCATTGCTTTAAAGATTAACATCATCAGTTGTCTAATGCTTTCTTTTAACAACTTCAGTACATTTTCATATGTTAATTTCATGTTCTTTGCATCAAAATGATTAAATATCAATGTCATCAGTTTTGACCTCAAGGATGCCTTTATATGATTTCAATACATTTAGCACTTTTCATGTTCATAATGCGTGGAATATCAACATATTTAGTGCTGACCTATGGCAACCTTTACAGTATTTAGGCAAATAACATTTTAAAAGTACATAAATGAAAATCTGTTTCCTGTTATTTACATGGCTGTGCATCCTCATTGTTGACTGTTAAGCCCTAATGTATTTCTGACACATTTCATGTTCATTGCAACAAGTGTCAGTATGTTCAGAGTGAACTCATGCCAGCCTTCCTACTATTTGAAGTGATTTATTCTTAGAGAACATTAACACCTGTCGTTTTCATGTTAATAGCATCAAGGTGTGCATCTTCTTTGTTAATTGTGCAACACAACAGTGTTTTCACTTGTTAACCTGCAGTTGTCTTTTTGTTGTTTATCTCCTCTGATGCTGCTTGTTTATTGACGCAAGTCCACGATAATGCTTGGAATGGAAGCTAAACAAACAGTTTATTTACTGGACAAGCCAGATCTCATGTCAAAGCAGCCCCTTCTGCCGTCGAACGATGCGGAACACTAAATACGATGTCACGGAAACAGTGTTGAGCTCAAATAAAAACACAGTACTACTGTCAAAAGGACATGCTTAGCTCTTTGTACATGGGTTTAAAAAAACAAAATACTCTGATAGTTGTTAATGAAAAACCCTTCATGTAATCTTTAACATGATACTGTAAATCTTTTTAAGACCAAAATAACGTAGAACACAATTAAGGCTTGTGTAGCGTTCTCGATAATATGTTAAATGTTCATCAGCTTTCTTTGTTAAGTATCAGGTCAATGTATATTCATATATTTCATGCATATTTAAAGATCTATGATGCATATCAAATTAGAATGGTTATTTGTTCAGGAGTGAAAAGCACAAATTTTAAACAACGGTTCTGTTTGTCATAGGATTAACATATTGTTTGCTTTGTCAACACAGCAAGAATGTCAGTAAATGGGCCATTATGCAGATGTGGTCATCAGTTGTTGTTGAGATTCTGCTTTTGAATAAAATGACATATTGACAAACAGGCCTCATTTGAGGGAAACTTTGTATTGATCAGTAGGGTAGATACTACAGTATGAGCTATGGATGTTTTTCATCAGAATCAAATTCATGCTTCCAAAAATAAGATGCCATAATGGAAATAGGATTTTGCTGCTTGGTGGTATAATATTTATGCAAGTAGGTTAGTGATATGCCAGCCAGATTGCTTGGCCCACTAAGGCCCTGGTTAATACAAACATGTATCCTCTTACCTCATACCATCAATGGACTCGTGAAGATCCGGGGTAGAATAGGTCTTCAGCAACCCATGCTTGCCGTAAAAGGCAACTATGCTTGTCATGACTTGGTTGATACATGTCATCGTATTCCATTTACGTGGATAGATGCTCATGATATCAATCACTGGATTGTCTGGTCCAGACTTGATTATTTACAGACCGCCATCATATAGCTGAAATATTGCTGAGTTAGGCGTTAAACAACAAACAAACATACCATCAATGGCAAACATAGCTGAGGTGGCTTTTCCACTTGTTTATGTCTACATTCTTCTACATACTGGCTGGGTTCAAGATAAACCCTTGAACCAAGGGTGGCATTGGGCAAGCACGCAAGATGACATAATAGTTAAAAGTTGCCCAATATAAATAAATCAATGATGGGCTGATGCAGGTGAGGTTATATAGAAGTGAGCAGGTAATAGACTGTCAGATGTAAAGCGTAATTCGCTGTTGTGGTGATTATGTCCCCTTCACATACACAGATTTATCTTACGAGTCCTTACGGATCGCCAACTCGTAGTCAATCGCAAGCATCCGTAAATAACTTGCTGGTATCCGTAAATAACTCATCACAACTCGTAACAACTCCCAGACACTCTTCAGGATCCTCGAAAGGAGAGGCAAATTCTTTGACATGTCAAAAATCATATTACGATTGTCCTCGGATTGATTTTTTCGTAAATAACTCGTAACAATCCGTAAGTATCGTAAACCGCTCGCAACAACACGTAACCATCCGTAAACTGCTCACAAGAATCTGTAAATGACTCGTAACAATTATTTTAACGATTTGTTACTATTAGTTTACGATTTGTTTACGGATTACTACGGATTATTACAAGTGCTTACGTGTTGTTTACAACTTTATTCGGGTCTTGTTACGATGGCTTTACGGATTGTTACGAGTTATTACGATCACATTACGTGTAGTTACGAGTACTTTACGAATAGATACGTATACTTTACATATTTTTACGAATTGGGGAAAGGTATAAAAGCTACAGAATCAAACACTTCATTTTCAGTTGTATTAAGAAGTCATAGAAGTTACATCTCTGCATAACTACTCTACAATATCGGTCGAGGAATATCTGGTAGCTGCTTGGCCTCGTCCTCTTCCCTCTGGGCTAGTTGAAGGAGCAATTGTAGAAATTGTTGATATCACTGCAATCTGCTTCTCTCATATGCCATGCTGTCTCTCTGGATGTCAGTTGTCGAATGATGATACATTAATTGAGATTTGCAGGATCTATATATTTTTTGGAAAAAAATTGTAAGGACTTGTAAGTACTCGTAACTAACTCGTAACGATTCGTAACAACACGTAAACAGGTCGTAACTAACACGTAAAAGCTTTGTTGAATAGTAACATTCCGTAATATACTCGTAACAATCCGTAATATACTCGTAACAATCCGTAAAAAGCTCATAAGATGCACGTAAGTTGCTCGTAGTTATCCATGACAACTTGTAACAACTCGCTGAAGTTTGACGTAAATACAGCGTAATAATCTGTAATTAACCGTAAATAGCTCATAATAACTCGTAACAACATTTAAATTGGACGTAAAAATGGCCA